TAACCCTTGAAAATGCTTTGGAAAATGCTAACACACGAGCACACAAGTTCTACACTTTGTGGTTAGTAACTTGGAAGCAAGGGTGAAGTGTTTGAGGAGATAGAAAAAGAAAAGGAGGTGAAGGGCATTGACTAGACACAGGTCTTAGCTTGACCAGATGCATCCGGTACTAAATCCTAGGTGGCACAACTCTTGACTGAGAAGGGGCAGGAGAGATTGGATGCTGGACCGGACACTGGTGCTGCATCCGATCACTCTATGCAGAGAAGGTGTAGGGCAGTCTTCGCGACTGGACTCTGCTGGGGACACGCGACCAGATGTGCAGGGGGTGCGTTAGGAACCTATTTGGACTAACCCTATGCTCTAAGTGTGGATGTGAGATAGTTGGTTCAACCCAAGTGATGGATCTAAGTGGCACACATGGATGGAGATGGCCACATGAAATGAAGATCATGGTGATGGTGTGGACACATGTGATGATCAAGCTCCGGACTCAGAAAAGAAGAAAGATAAAAATAGAATGGGCTCAAGAAAAAGGTGATATCCATAGGGCCATTTTGTTTTGGTGATCAAAACACTATAGAGAATGTGATCACATTTAGGATAGATGGTCGTACTATAAATAGGGGAGCTCTTATCGGACAACTCAATCATCTATTGCCACTAGATGTTGGATAACTTGCATTTGCATTTTAGGCCTAGTGCACAATTGGTAAGAAAAGATTAACCTTTGAAAAATGATTGTGAAAATGCTAACACACTTGCACGTGATGGTGAAACACTTGTGGTTTTGGCACTTTGCAAAGGAATCAAAGGAGGCAAAGAAGGGGGATGAGGTGCTGCCTTTGGGGGCACCGTCACCCCCTGTCCGGTGCACCACCACCTCTAGGGCGGTGACCGGCTGACCTAGGCCGAGAGGGAGGAGTTGGGTGCTGCCCTAGGGGGCACCGCCACTGCCTGTCCGGTGGCACCGCCACCCCTAGGGCCATGCCCACCTAGCCTCGATCCCGAGTGGTTGCGTGGTAGTGGTCACTAGACACCACTGTGTGCACTGCCACGTGCACAACGGTGCACCGTCGGGTGCTGTTCGGTGCCACCGCCTCTTTTCAACAGAGAGCAGGGATAGTGGGGTTGGTCACTGCCTAGGCACCGCCATGCTTAGGGCAGTGCACCGCCCTATCCAGAGAGGGTGCTTTCGGAGGGTTTGGCTGGGTGGTCACCGCCACCACTAGGACGGTGCCACCACTACCCTGTTTGGTGCCCCAATGGCTAGTGAACATTGGATGACTGTTGGAGGGGCACCGCCACCCCTTGTCCGGTGGCACACCGCCGTGTCCGGTGCCCCCTCAGAAATAGCTCTGAGGGGTAATGGCTCTATTTGCTTGTGGGCTTATAAATAGAGGTGGTGGCTGGCCTTGGCCACTCTCTTGGCACTTCCCACACCTGTGTACACCCTTTGGGAGCTAAGCAAACACAATCCACTCACTTGCACACTTGATTTCATCATTTGAGTGAGATTAGAGAGACTCTAGTGCATTGCTTAGTGATCTAGCATCTTGTGGCACTAGTTGGGCAATTTGGGCTGGTGGAGATCTTGTTACTCTTAGTGTTTGCCGACACCTAGACGGCCCGGTGATTGGTGGATCATCGAGCGAAGGAAGGTGATTGTCTCCAACTCCGATCATTGTGATCATGAGGGGTTCTTGTGCCTTCCCCGGTGGAGCGCCAAAGGTAACTCTAGTGGATTGCGCATGGCTTGTGCATCCTCATCTTGTGTTGTTGTGCAGCACCCGATTGTGGGTTAGGCGTGTGATGCCTATTAGCGCGTGAACCTTCAAGTGAGTGAATCACCACAACGGGGACTAGCTTGCCGGCAAGCAAGTGAACCTCAGAGGAAAAATCATTGTGTCATCATTGTCTCCTTGGTATTCTTTGGTATTCATTGATGATCACTTGCCACGGTGGGATATCTCTTCTACCACTCTCTTGTATTACTTTGTGTACTTACTTTGTGTAGAGCATGTGGTAGTTGTAGCTAGTTGTGTAGCTTAGCTTTTTAGTTGTAATTAGTCCTTAGCTAGCTCAACTTGTGTAGAGAGTAGTGACTTAGCCTTTGAGTGCTTAGTGATCATAATTGACTAGAATTGTTTATAGGAGGCTTGCATTTTTAGTAGACTAGCGCAACACTTGCTTCGCCTTATATTTATCTAACAACTTGACTTAGTGTTTTTGTAGAAATTTTATAGGCTATTCACCCCCCTCTAGCAATTAGTACCTTTCACTTGGTCACGTAGAAAAAGCAAAAGGTCCAAGACCCACGAGCCGGTGCATGATCGTAGAAAACCTCACGACCGCGCAAAAAGAGTTTGGGGAAACGACTCCTCGTATCATTAAGGCAAAACGACCCTTTCAGCAACCCTGGACCAAAGGCACGACCCTAGCCCCAGGGCCCGAGGGCTCGCCGCATCCACAAAGGTTGCCTAAGTGTTCAAACAAAACCTCTTTCCATTCGATATTCATGAATACATGAGCCAGAAATGCCACCGGCCGTCACCCATTTCGAGCACCTAAACCACCAAGGTTTAGGGCGAGAAATGACAACGAGATAGCGGACCGATGTCGCATATGACCTGACTCGGTGACCACGCTATCTCTTGCCCCCCGCTAGCAAATCTCCTTCTAGCACCAGTTGTTGGAAGGAGCAGCATCAGCCATCGGCCAATGCAATCGACCCCCCAGCGGGTTGCATGCTCGAAGCCATCCATAAGAGAGACGTATCTCCCTCTTTCGCTCACTCTCTCAGAATTTGGCCTTTCAACAAGGCTAAAAGCAATTCGTAGACATGGTTGGAAGTGGTTCAAACAATAGGAAGGCCCTTATTTATAGGCCCAAGGGCGGACTGAGCAGCTTGAGACCCCTGCGCTGCATGGCGAACCACGGGAGGTCATAGCTGATGTCAGATGCCCGCATGAGGTCGGGTAAATCGAGTTCTTCCTAAAGGTAGAGCCAGTACAATGTCGACTAGACCACTCAGCCCCGCTTGGATCATGTGCCTCAATATGCAGCACACTGACACGGCTAGGCTCAGCAATCACGTACCATACCGTCAGGGTGTCCTGGTGGGATGGGACGCAATAGACACCTACCTCATTGAACGCACTAGCCCGCAGGGGTCAAGCGCCAAAGCTTGGGCCAGCCACGACTACGAACCCACACTCAATACACGTGAATATCAGCGCTTTCACGATTACTTCGTGATTGCAAAAATACTCGAGGGCTACTGTCGGGATTATGATATCCTGGGTACCTCAAGACATCGATTAGTTAGCCTCTCAGGCGGCCCACGGTACACCAGCTAGAATAAGCCCAAACAAATCGAGGCCCAGCCAAGCTATGTGGACTAGGGCCAAACACTAAGGCAAGGGTTGGCCACGACCTCTTCTCTCTGCCTTCACCGCATGACGCGCAACGCCTCACGACCTCTCCCCTATCCTGACTCCTAGGAGGAACGGGGAGAGACCGAGCTCTGCCAAGCGCACCTGCTCTGACAAGAGTAGGCATGCCGCACTGACCCCGCAAGGACCGAGGGGACAGCAGTCCCCTCAACTCGGCCAGACATCATCCCTACGCCACGCAGCGAAGACAAGACAACACCGCCGAGCGATGACGGCCAGTATGGTGACCCACTGTCCAAATACGGTCCGATGAGATGGATGTACCACCCCATCCACTATGGGATGGGGTCCACGATGGTGGCCTTAACTTTTGAGGCCATCCAAGCCAACAAAAGACACAGCTCCGGAGCTCGGGATCATGACCACTAGCTCCACAAGCAACAAGATGACCAACGACCTAGGGGCGGCTACCAACTCCCGTACGGCGCCCCCAGGAGATAAGGAGGCGATGACGAAGGCCATGGCGAGACCATGTCGCGTAGGACGGCTAGTGAACCATCACCGTGCCTACAGTGCCAAGTTAGCTAGGTTCCCTTCCTCAGGCTCACAACCCCTCGGTCGGGAGAACCTCCTTCTTTGTATGTGACCTAGCCCCGGACTCTATATAAGGGTAGCCAGGGCACCCTTCCAAGGCATCGGACTCTCGAAGCTCTCATTCGGGCAGCCCATCTCCTAGCTCTAGCTCTCCTACCTCTTCCACTCTTTTTACACCCACCATTGTAAGAACTTCAGAGCATTCAAGCGAGAAACACGCACTTGATCGTCTCTGAGACTGGACGTAGGGCTCCGGCTTGAACTAGTATAACTCCTGTCTTTTGGATACTACCATCGTCTTCCTGGAGCAGTGCGACAATCATATAAATTCACTAGTCGGTCGACAAAACACTGACAGTTTGTATCGAGGCCAGGTCGAAGATAAGAGATTCCCTAAATTTGTGGAGGGAGAACTAGACATTGTTTTCCTAACTATTTTTCTTTTGGCTCTTGAGCCCTGTAAACTTGTACATTTTATAAATATCTCCTTTGCTGACCTTTTTTTTAGAAATTGTGACGGAGGAAGTAAAAAAAATTCTCAACTTGTTTTGGCCACTCGAAGTATTCAAGGTATTGGCAATTTTTTTCTTGTGACCTCTTGGAGATGCTTTAAATTAGTATAAAAATCGGCGCCCATTTAGATTTCTTTTTATTATGAAGTTTCAGTGACCGTGCTAATTAAAAGTTGCAAAATTTGATTATTTAAAACAAAAAAAAACAAAATATTGCTTACATCGATTTAAAAAATGTACTACACTTGGTTCATCATGTTTTCGAGTACTCTCACATATAAGTGGATTTCGTTCATGACCTGTGAGCGTAACAAAAAGTAAAAAGTGGATTTACTGTATCTGATAGCAAATCAAGGTCAAGAAACCAGTGCATCTCCTGTCTCACTCCATCCTATCTGTCCGGCTCCAGTGCTGCTCTCTTCCAGTCTTCCTCAGTCGTCGTCCCTCCCCTCCCCTCCCCTCCCCTCTCTGCCCACGGCCCACGGGACGACGTCCAGCCATGGTTGGCCCCGAGATGCTCGTCGCCGCGACGGTGAACCAGGTCGCTCGGAAGATCAACGAGATCATCGGCGTCGCACAGGGCGAGGTGAAGCTGTGCTGCAGCTTCAGCGATGACCTCGAGGGCATCAAGGACACCCTGATATACCTTGAAGGACTCCTCAAGAACGCGGAGAACAACTCCTTCGGAAGCGATAGGGCGAACCTGTGGCACTGGCTGGGCCAGATCAAGTCTCTGGCTTACGATATGAAGACATCGTTGATGGGCACTATGTTAAACATAAAACAGTATCTCTAGGCATAAAACTAGCATGGCTACTTATACTTAGATAAACTATGAGTCCTAGAACATCTATTAGTACAGTAACAGTAGATAGAACGAGAGAAAGAGAGGGATGAAGGGTGCAAACCATCGGCTGCCTTGGAGGAAGATAGGCTCGTCATCGCAATGCTTGGCGATAACCCGGTGGCAGTACAGTAGCGGTGTCGTCCGGGATCGGTGTAGATGCCGCAGGGCAGCCCGGGGTCGTAGCAGTCCTCCGGCGTGATGCAGAGGCGGTGGCGGCGTTTCCCGTCGCTGGCAGCGCCCTCTCTATGATCGGCTAGGATTTAGGACTATAGGTGGGGTGCTAGGCGGCTCAGGCGAACCTCGTGTCTCGAGCGCCTCGGCCTCCACCTCCTATTTATGGCGCTGTGCGACGGGAGCCCACCAACCATATTAGGGTTGGACGCCCCCGATCAGGACGCGGATCCAAGGGCCTAACCTATTGGTGGAGATCAACTAACATTCTCACCCTTGATCTCACTTATATCTTAAACTTAACTTACTTTCTCTTGTTTCCATTCCATCACAGATCAGTGCATAGAGCGTGTCTCATCGTCACGGTCTCTTGCCATTAGATTAAACAGCTACAATGTATCTTTCTGTTTTGAAACAGATTCTTAGCTAGGCCTTTATTGTCCAGGAATCATAGGTTTTCCCTTAAACCCTTGCCGGCTACGTGTTCTCTGAACACACTAGGTGGTAAGCCTTTTGTAAGTGGATCCGCGAGCATCTTTTCTGTTCTTATATGCTCAAGACTAATTATATGATCCCGGACTTTATCTTTCACAACATAATACTTTATGTCAATGTGTCTGGCAGCACCACTTGACTTATTGTTGTGAGCATAACATACTGCTGGATTATTATCGCAGTATAACTTAAGTGGTTTATATATGTCGTCTACCACTTTCAACTCGGGCATAAATTTCTTTAGCCAATTCACATACCCTGTGGCCTCATAACATGCTATAAACTCGGCATACACTGTGGACGATGTAGTGACGGTTTGCTTTGAGCTTTTCCACGATATTGCTCCTCCTGCGAGAGTGAATATGTACCCTGATGTGGACTTTCTTTCATCTCCCGCATAATCAGAATCTGTGTACCCCTCTATGTATAGGGAATCAGATCTTCTGTATGTTAGCATGAGACCCTTTCGTACCTTGTAGGTAACGTAAAACTTTCTTTACTAATTTTCAGTGTTCTATTCCTAAATTACTCTGATATCTGCCAAGCAACCCGGTAACAAATGCTAAGTCAGGGCGAGTACACACTTGAGCATACTGTAAACTTCCGACAGCTGAACTATATGGAACCGCTTTCATTTGATCGATCTCATATTGGTTCCTGGGATATTGAAATTCTCCATATCTGTCGCCTTGACTATGGGAGCAGGTGAAGATTTACAATTTTACATACTATATTTCTTTAGAACTTTTTCTAAGTATGCCTTTTGTGATAATCCTAAAACCTCATTTTCTTTGTCTCGGTGAATCTCTATTCCTAGGACGAACGAAGCTTCACCGAGATCCTTCATATCAAACTTTAAGGATAAGAACTTCTTTGTTTTTAGTAGTAGACTAACATCACTGCTAGCGAGCAAGATGTCATCCACATACAACACTAAGAAAATGTATTTCCCATTCTTGAACTTTGCGTAAACGCAATTGTTCTCTATATTTTTTGAAACCCAAACTTTTTTATTGTACTATCAAACTTCAAATACCACTGTCTTGAAGCTTGCTTTAATCCATAAATGGATTTGTTCAGACGGCATCCCATGCGTTCTTTTCCTTCCACAACAAAACCTTTCGGTTGTGCCATGTAAACGTTTTCCTCCAAATCCCCGTTTAGGAACACCGTCTTTACATCTATCTGATGTAATTTTAAATCGTAATGTGCTACAAGCGCCATTATGATTCTAAAAGACATGTGGAAGATAGAGGAAGACTATCCTGAAAACAAAATTATGCCAATATTTCCATCATTCAAGACAATATACTATTGTATGCCCCATGAGCTAAGGTTATGCTTTGTGTATTGTTCAATCTTCCCTAAAGGATATGTCATTGATAAGAAAAAACTTATTCAGCAATGGGTTGCACTTGACATGATTGAATCCAGACATGGAACCTTGCCGCTCAATGTTACTGCTGAGAAATACATTGATGAACTTAAAGATATTTATTTCCTTCAAGTTCTAGAGAGGCATCAGGTAAGTTTACAGTTGTACTTAAGATATTTCTTGTTTTTTCTTACAAGAACCATAGTAACACCCATCTCAATAAACTTTAGTAAATACATTTCTGCGAAAGAAGGTTCACATAATAATGTCCTGTTATAATGGATACGGAAAATTGTAGTATTAATAAGAGTAACTACCATGCAGAACATGTCAAGCCAATTACTATGATCATTTGCATTTGTAAAGATATAAGATATGACAAACATCACTCAGAAAGTTCATTTACTTACTAAAATGAATCATGATAATATCATACATTTTATCTTTTTGCAAAAGTGATAATATCATACGTAACAAAGATTGTTTGCAAAAGTTTCATACCTCGAAAGATTCACCAGATGGTATTTGCTTTCAGATTCATACTTAAATTGTGTTATTTGAGTTCAGGTCATCAGGATTTCTGTTGGTGCCTAAAGCAAACCCATCTGGTTTACTTTTAAAACTTTGTTTAGTAATGTTTCTCAAAATTTGATGAATGCACAGTATATATTGCACACATCCTCTTTAGTAGTTTGCATAACCTGACATGATATTAATACATTTGGAAATAAGCTCTTATTATGAACTGAGAACTGTGCATTTTTCTCTTTTGAGGTAGCCTATTTCTCGTATCCTTTTATTCTCTCCTAAGTTGAACCAAAATGTTCTTGCACCATAGCAATTTATGTGGTTTAGTTGAGTAAGCTAGCTAATTAACCTCGTTTCCATTTACAGATTGATGCAGAAATATCCAATACTTCTGATGAAAAGCTCTGCATGAATAATTTTTGGCAACATTTGTTCACTTCAGTGGTTGTGAGTTCCGAATGCTACCTGACTTTTTGGGCAACATTTGTTCACTTCAGTTTTTTAGTCTGTCAAAATGCTCAAAACTTGAGCCACTCCCCCAATCATTTGGTCAGCTTGCATATTTGAAAGGTCTGAACCTTTCATTTTGTTCTGATCTTAAACTCCCGGATTCCTTTGAATACCTAACTTCTCTTCAGTTTCTAAATCTCTCACACTGCCCTAGTGTAGAATATCTGCCATCTTCTTTTGACAGACTTAGTAATTTGGAGTATCTTAATTTATCACAATGTGTTGGACTCAAAGCATTACCTAAGTCACTTTCAAACCACAAAAATCTCCGAATTGAGGTTTTGGGGTGCCAGGATTGCACAGTGCAGTCATGTTCTCTAAGCTCCCAATCCCATACATGCTCACAGCCACGGGCGGAGCTACATTGGGGCCATGCTGGGCCCTGCCCCCCTGCCTCCGTGTCTATGTGTGTTACACTAATACCAACAAACAAATTTGCATCTTTCAATGCTAGCGAGGTAGTATGCAAAATGGTTGAGAAGTACTACCCAGTGGATTTCAACCAACAAGAAAGGCTTGATTAGAAACCCAGCTCAACCATTTTGTTATTGATGCTTCCAGCAGTGAAGAATTGAAAAATATCACAACCATAACTGAGCTATGTCGATGCCTTGTTGACACAGGACGCCATGTGACTCATAACCTGATTGATAGATTGCTTCGGTTGCTTCTTACTCTCCCTGTTTCAACAGCTAGTGCTGAGCGTGTCTTTTCTATATTGAAGATCATTAAGACAAGGTTGCGCAACAAGATGGAAGACGAATTTCTTGCTAACAGCCTGCTAGTACACATAGAAGGTGAAATTGCAAGAGGCTACAGTTATGAAGACATAATTTCTGATTTTCAAGATTTAAAGAAAAGAAGAGTGGACTTTTGACAAACGATAGTTCTATCTATATGTTACATGTATTTTGGGGTGTGTATATATATGTGTGATGGTCTTCATGGACAAAATAGACCACACAGTCAACTGTATTTTGTTTAGTGTGGCCTGATTATATAAGTAGTAACTAGTAAGACTAATTTCTCCACTACCTATGTACTTATGGGTTTAATTGGCAAATTGCCCCCCCCCATCCCCCTATGTTTTGTTTCTGGCTCCGCCACTGCTCACAGCAAGTCAAGGAAGTTGGATCAAGTAGTTCTATCGATACCATTCTAAAGGAGCCTGCAAACAGAGACGTGGCAGTAGGAATAAGTTTTTCAGACAATGATGAAGTTGGTTATCCACAAAATAAGCTGAAGCAAAAATCGGCATCCTCTTATCATATGGATGGACATAAAAGTGAAGAGCCTAATTTCACTAACAAGGTAAACGTGCAATACATCTCCTATGTTTGTTTCTACAAAATTGTCATAGCACAAAAATAATTATTCCCAATGTTCTTATTTCTTTTTGTAGCCAAACTCAACTAGAGAGACAGTACAACTAATCCCTGGACACCAGTTCCCATCATCTCCATCTCGTATTTCTTCCATTGCATCAAGTTCTAGTGCACTATTTGCATCTGGCTCCTCTTCAGATGTCTCAACAACTGACAATCCAGTGTCCAATGACAAAGCAGGTTTGGTGCTTACATATCTAACCATTTGAAACATTGAATAGCAGGTCAGATCTTTATTTGAATATATCTTAGCGTACCAAATGGGATGGTCTTCCCAGTTCCAAATACTTTTCACTATCTCAAAAAATGCAACCTTTAATAAATGTATTTCTCAAATATGTTATTTTTCAGTTTTGAAGTTGAAATAATAAATTGTAACTACTTTAGAGAAGTATTCTTGTAAGCTGTAAGGCTAAAAAAAAGTGGTCTTGAATTTTCCAAAAATATTGTTGTGGTTTCTTAAGGCTAAGAAGATCTAAGGCTGTTCTCAGTTTTTTTTCTTTTGTGTGTGCTGTATTCCAAGACCTCTCTCTTCTTAATGCAATGATACACAACTCTCTTGTGTATTCAAGAAAAAAAAAAGTTTGCATGACTATGATCATATATTCTTCTTTTTTCATGAATATAGACATTCATGAATGATAAGTAGTCAAAGGCTCAAAGCTGTAACAGAGTGGGGTTCCATATAAGAGGAAAAGATTTGTCAACAGGAGGAATTATCATGGTTGAGGTCAGAGCAAAATTCTAATATATGAAAATAGGAGCTATGAGAATACAAATTGTGTTTAATGTGAATCAAAATTTTGCGCAGAGCGAGTTCTTGTACCACCTATGGTCCAAAACAAATGTCAATAACCCGTGAGGCATATGCAAACTTTTGAAACCTTTGCTACTATATCTACTTAGTTTCATCACAACAACATGATAATGTATTCTTCATCAAAAGTTCTTATTTAAGTTTACTACCATGGTTGAAGCCTGTATAAAATGTTCCAAACAAGTGAATTGGGTCATAGCTAGTAGTTAACTTCATTTGTCATGTTTCCTTGGGACTTTTGATAGGTTTACAGCTGGAAGAGGAATGCCACGAACCTCAGGTGTTAGCAGGAGATGGCCAGATTTATGAACATCAAGCATCGTCATCACACATGGACATGGCTGCACATCTGCATGAACCAACCGCTGCCAAGCGCAGAAATGATAACCATATTACTCGCTACAGTGGAGAATATCACTTCAGTGTGCAGTGCAATGGGTTGAACCAAGGGATTGTGTGATACGGCAAACCAACAGATGATATTTGCAATGGATCTTGATGCATACAATCACACTGGATGGGAATTCTTGGAGTCGATGAACCTCATACGAAAGAAGTGACTTGCTGCCTTTCACAGATTATTAAGTTGCCTGCGGGTAGAGGATTCTCTGGTTCTACTTGGCTGTTACTTCTTGATGTGTTTATGAGTGCTCTGGGAGTGGTAGTGGACTTCAGATATTCATCCTGTTTGCTTGTTGGTTTCAGCCAGCCCAAACCAACCAGCCAATAGTATTTTCCTCTCATAATAAACCAGCACCAGCCAACCCAAACTAGCCCAGAAACCAACCAACGAACCGGCCGATTTTATCATGTCTTGGAGAGGAGCTAATGCTCTTAGTACTACTGCAGAGGATACTTTGACGCCTGCCAAATATGCATAAATAGTGCTAATCAAAAGACCTCCCTTTGGCCCCGTTTGGCTGGCAGAATTTTGGCTAAAACTGGCTGAAAAATACTGTTCTGGCTGAATTGTTGTGAGAAAAAAACACGGTTCCGGCTGAAAAAAGGAAGTCGAACAAGCCGAATATGAGGTAAGCCGAACGGGGACGGCTACTTTGCCAACGAAAGCACATTGATGACTTGAATTTTGTGAATTTTTTGTCATATTATACCCGGGAATCCTTGTTATGTTTTCTTTAGTTCAATTATTAGTTGCATATACGTTCCACAGCCAATTTCTTCTTTTAATATAAAATCGGCAGCTTTTCTGGTTGTTTCCAAAAAAAAAAAAGTAGCCAAAAGGTTCATCAGGCCTGCTCAAATATCGTGGGGGCCCAATACGAAGAAGCAAAGCCCATGAGGCTCTATGCCACCGGGCTCTTCTCGTTTGAGGGCTCGGACACATCTAGCCTAGCCGATCAATCGAGATTGGACTTGAGAGAAAGACAGGGCAACCGAGCTCGCCGTGAGCCCGTGACGGCGACGGAACTCGGGAGCTCTGATCTTCCTCGTCGCTTCTGGCGGCTCCCTTCTACGCTTGGTCACTCCTGCTTCCTTCCCGTTCTGTGCCATCCGGGCATCCGGCACCGGGACGGAGCTATCGCCCCGGCCCCGAGGTCAGGTTTTCTCCTTTTATCCTGCAACCATCGTCTTTATCTTCTGTTTCTCCATTTCTCTACTGCTGCCGATTCCATAGGGTTGCGATGCCTCGGATTTGTATTCATGTACGGGCGAATTTGTTCCAGGGCATTGGGTTTCTTGATGGGAGACAGCAGCAGGCAAGAACCGTGGGTCAAACTCCAAGCGGATGGCTGGCTGCGCAGACCTGCGTTGGGATTGAACAGCCTGATGCAGATTCCCGATAAGATTCAGAGCTCTCTTAAGGTCGGTTTATCAAAAAGGAAAGATCAGGGGGTTCGGAACTGTTTGTGCAGATGTGAATTTACTGTTGCCTGCGTCTTGCCATAGGTGCATTTTGGGCGTTTCTTGAACAAGGATGGTCATGGCCGCCGCATGAGTGCTGAGATATCGTCAGAGAAGGCGAAACAGTCGTGTTCTGCTGCTGCTGCTGCTGCTTCTGCGGAGATTCGCTTGGATAGGCAGCTCCAAGCTTGGTGGGACAATCCTAGCTGGACCGACGAGCCGCCAGAAATAAAGGTATCCACGTTGTGCGGAACACTTTTCTCTCTGTATCGGGACTGCTTCTTTACCGTTGCTTTAGTGTGCCAAACTTACACCGAATCAGAACACCTAAAATGTATTAGAACGCCCTATTGATTTTGTAGAGTTTGCTTTTGTTAATCTCGAGGCCGAAAGAATGCCTGAATAACTTTCAAGAATGTTCATCCAGTTTAAGAACTTGTGCTTACATGATCAAATGTTTACAGGTGACTGTACCAGAAGGTTCCCTTTGCAACATCAATCTGAGATTTAAGGCAGGATTACCACCGGATGCAGTATACAACATTATAATTGATCCAGAGAACAAAAGGGTGTTCAAGAATATCAAGGTGTGTACAGGTGTGCTTTTACTTATTCAGATTGAGCTAACTGATATGTACTTGTGACTGCTTGGTGGAGCTGACTGAATACGTGAACTCTGTTTTTGATCGCCCTCGTTTGAAGATGTCTGGAAAATGTTCTTTCAATTGGATTGCTTTTAGAATTGTGTTCTGTTGGATGCCAAAGCTTTAGTTGTACATCTCCTCGTTAGAATAACTCGATAGTCAGTGCTCTTGCATAGGGAATGCATAAGGAGCTTTTGCATAGTTCAATGATGGGCCAGGTGTACTCACTACTCCATGAGCCAAGAAAAACATGAGGACCCATGCATAATTCATGTTTTTATACTGAAAATAACAAGCCATTGAAATTTCTATTGACGAGAAAATGGACCAGGAATGTCCAGGATCTCACCATAGATCTAGGTATTCATGGCAAGGATATTGTTTCACTTTTTCAGGAAGTAATATCAAGGAAAGTCTTGCTTGACGAAGGATCAAGGCAAATAGTTGAAGTGGAGCAGGCAGCAATCTGGAAGTTCCTGTGGTGGTCTGGCATCTTATCGGTTCATGTTTTTGTTGACCAGAACAGAAAAAATCACACTGTAAAAACTTGAAACATTGCCATTATCCTTTGGTCAGCGCATGCAATATGTTCCCTGATATTTGCTCCATGCATTACCTTCTGCAGGTAAAGTTTAGGCAGGGGCGGACCGGTTTTATGAGGAAGTTTGAGGGTTGCTGGAAAATAGAACCCCTTTTTGTTGACAAGGAATTATGTCTTCCTCTAGACCCACATACATTGGAGGAATATGAATCGTGTACTGGTGGTAGGGGAAGAGTTGGATCTGCCATTACCTTGGATCAGCTTATCGAGCCTGCTCTTTTACCCCCACCACCCATTTCGTGGTACTTGAGAGGGATTACCACAAGGACGACTGAGATGCTGGTGAATGACCTGATAGCAGAAACTGCTCGATTGCGGGGCATCTCAAACAACGCGATTGCCAAGCAAGGTACTGAAGAAATGTGTGATGCTAACATAAGTGATTCAGCTAGAGAGTGTGGTGACATTAAGGAAAGGTGGCGACAGAGAAGAAAAAGTGGACGGCATGGATCCTCCCTTAGATTAACAAGTCAATTGTTGTAAGATAAGCTTCATGATAAGCTATGAAACAGTACTCTTTAGGGCCCATTTACCTGTATCTTAGTTTTAAAGGTTTTGTTTGTTGTAGGTAATATGGTGTAAGATGGCTCTTTGTGAACGTGTAGAAGCTGGTTGTTCAATAATTATATTTGTTTTATCTGAATAAAATTTTACTTGCTCCAATGGTTTTGATTGTCTTTTAGTCCATTCTAATCTCCCTGAACATTCAAAAGAAAAACATTTTCCTGACTGTCAGTTGCCTGAAAGGTAACTTGCTTTATCCTTACAGCAGATCTTCATGTTTAGCATGTCCATTACAGCATTGTTTGTGATAACTGAATTACTGAAGTTCGGTGAAAATTGCAGGTGGATAAATGGCCTGATACCAATTACTGAACCTGATCCAATCTGATGCCCTGCTTAATCCAGTTGACAAACAGCCGGTTCATCCTTTCTCCAATGCTGCAAGCCAAGGAAAAGACCCAATTCCTTACCTTTCTTGACATGCTTAAGGCAACACCTCGTTGCAAGCAATCAGCAACCCAGGCTAATGGAAACCTATGAAACTTAGCAAGCAGTACATAGCTTCATATCTAATGCAATGCAAAGACATCCAGGAGCTGTTTGGTTGTAGAAATGGAAACGCAAACGTAAATAGAATTGAACTGCAAATGTTACCGGCGGGAACAGATTTGAACTAGCTAGCCTTTACGTGTGCGTTACTGTATAGGAACCAAACAGCTCGCCAGTCGTTTCGTTTCCGTCAAGGCCATCGACCCCAAGGCAGTCATGTCTGGTGAACGGCCACCGTCGTCGTTGCCGCCGCGGCCAGAGCCATTCCGCTTCTGGCTTCCTTACAGAAGCAGTGTGGGGTCATGGCGGCAGCAACCACGGCCGCCATCACCAGTGCCGTGGACAATGCCATCCTCACCCCGACCTCAGCCACCTTCGCCGCCACCACCAACTCCGGTAGGGCCTGCGCACCAGAGGCCGGTGCCACACGCCACGGTGGAAGATATCCCTCTCCAAGCTGAGTCCTCTGACGAATCTGACACGATTCCAGTCGAGAGCTCAGACTCGTCGCAGCTCCGAGGCGGGCGGCCGTCCACAGCCGACCTGGAGCTGACGCTCTCCGGCGGCCCGCCCGCCGGCCAGGAACAGAGGTCGGGCAGAGACGACAGCAACCGCGGCAACGACGCCAAGATCGCCATTTCCGGCTTCCCGCGGTCGCGGCTCTTCGACGGCGCGCGCGCGCCGTACCGGCGGGAGATCGAGGACGGGCTCAAGAGCCTCGCCGCGCGCGAGACGCCGGCGCCCAGGCCGGAGAGCGGCCAGGGGTACCGCGTCATCACGCTCGCCGGACACAATGTCGGCGCGAGTATGGTCCTCGGCAGTAATGGCGGCGGCCCCATGGAAGCGCCAGCGCCACAGCCGAGAGCCGCAGAGCCAGGGGTGCCGGTGCCGGGTCCGGGTTCGAGGCCGCCGGCGGTGGCCGCGAACGTGAACAGCAACGTGCAGAGCGTGAACAACTCGTCGATGGAAGAGAGCACGTGCACCGCCGGCAATCCCGGCGTGCACGTGGACATCAAGAACGCGCGCGAGGAGCCGGCTGCGGTGACACCAACGCCCATCCCGAGGGAGGAAGAGAAGCCAAAGGAGCCTGTGAGGAGACCGCCGCTCGTTGTGGCGCCGCAGCAGAAGAGCGCAGCAGCAGGTGGTGGTGAGGCGGCACCGGCGACGGCGAGGCCAAGGCCGAGGCGGTGCCTGCGCGCACTGATGATGGAGAACGGGAGCGACACAGAGGCGGCGCGGAAGCGGAGGCCGAGCGCCTGCCGGTTCCAGTGCGTAACGGATCATGCACCGACGGCGACGGCTGGCGACGGCGGTGGCGCTGGCGATAAGAATGCAGAGGATGGCGGCAAATCGAGCACGGAAGGGGCAAGTTGAAGCGTGTGGGAACGATGGTTTGATGAAGAGCGTATGGCTTTTGTAAAAAAAATGTATAATGGTTTTTGTGTGAATCTAAAATGATGTATATTTTTATACATGATTTGATCTCTAATGCTGAAAAAATTGCAGCAGTTTGCTGAAATCTAAGAGCATCTCTAAAAGTGTTTGTAAAATTCACTCTCTAAATCATCATTTGGAGAGTCATTTGAGTAAAATTACTTTCTATATTTTTTTAAGTTTTTATGGTGCTTGGCCGGAACTAACGGTTCCGCTTAACGGCACTCTAATCATCTTGTTGTGGTCATTATTTTTATTCATCGCACGAACAAACGACTCGCAGCCGCCGGCGCCTGCGCACGGGGCGCACTAGTAGCCTCCAGGCTGCCAGAAGCCTACAGGGGCCCGGGCGCCCGGCGGTGACCATCGTCTGCACTCTGCAGGGGCTCGTTGGTGCCTGCCTGCAAAGGCCTACAAGGGCCAGCCGCTGCTGCGTCTGCGTCTGCTTTTCTCCCATGCGCGCAGCAGAGCCACCTCTGTTCCTGCATGAAGTCTCTTGCTTCGCTCACCTGGAAGAGAATGCAGCAAAAGCACGTATGGGGATCGGGGCAACAAAAGCAGTGACGAAGTCTGTGGACGGCGGCTCCCAGAGTGCCGAATTGATCAGGCGTGCCAGCGTTGAAGAGAAAAATGATGTATTGATGTTCCACGAACTAATTAGTCAAGTGGCCTATTAAAATACTATTGCATCTTTCTAACTAAATTTAGAATTAGTTCCAGGCCCACTAATATTAAGTTCCGGCCCATAACTTAAGCTCCTCCCTCTAGGTTCTTTTTAAGTTTTTAACCATTAGATCTAGATAGATGAATGTCTAACTTTTTTTTTCCAAGCACGTAAAATTTCTCTATTTTTTACTCTCTAACAATTTTCTATACCTTGTGCGTAATCTAGAGAGTTATTTTTATTCTTCATCTTTGGCTAACGATAAATCCAAAATAGACAATAGTTATATTTAAATATCCAATTAAAGAGATTATTGAACGGTATTTTTTAAATCAAATTTCTATTCCTAACAATTGAAAAGGATATAGAGTTTATTGGAGTTGCTCTAATGTAACGTTTCTAAAATCAAGGCCGGAGGAAGGGTCAGCGTTTGGTTCATATGAATTGAAAAGATTGGAAAATAATCTAATAACAAAATGGGAAGCACTCTAGATATTGGTTTCAATTTATGGAGTCAAGTCTAAAAATCAATTCTTAGAGAAAATAAGTGTAAAACTTAAAATCTATTGTTCAAAAAGGACCGCTTGTAGTTTGTGTGGCTCCACCACTGTCTATAATAATATCAGAAATGCATGATATAGCTCTGCATCACAAGTCATAACCCAACTTTTGAGAGAACGTGTATTGACTTTAGATCAATATACATATGCCGTAAAGGAAAAAAAATGAGAATATGGAAGAGAGCAGAAAAGGGTGATATCCTCCAACAAGCAGCCAAGGCCTCTTCAGTCGTTGTTGTTCAAAAAAGGGCATATCCATAGAATAAAATTGGCCGCATGCGACAAGATGAGTTTTGTTCCACCCGCAGAAGGGCTGCGGGATCCTTTGTGTGACAATAGACTATATGCTCCTTTGTGTTTTTCTCTTCTTCTAAAACCAGTAATCAAAGTCATTCAAGAACTCTAGGAAGATTTTAATGTACCTAAAAGCAAAGCAATAGTAATTCTTCTATATGCTTAAAGCCTATATTTTTAATCATCTAATGCCCTATATTAATTTAAAGTGATTATAACAAATCCGATGTAGTTCAAGAATTGTATTTCTACTTAATAAGTCATCTTTTGATTTAATAGCTAATGTGAGGCCACGTATCGTGGCAAATTCACGGTCTAGATCTAGATGTTTTAATGTAAGGTACATATGAGACATACATGTTCCTGAGTTGAACCAGAGTGCGGCTCAGCTCACGAAATTGTTTTCTTTTTGTTTTAAACCATTAGATTGCATAGAAATGTTTTTTTGTCAAACTAAGTTTAAGTTGCGGGCTTCATTTATAATTTTTAGAGCACTGTTGTAAATATATACAGATAAATATTATTGCCTAACAATGCTATGGAATTCAAGGTAGTAAAGAATTTTATGGACGTATTTAAAGACCTCACAGTCACATGCTATCTATTCGCTACACAAATACTAAGACTGGACAGCCGGGGCAGGGACATGGCGCCACACTTAAAACAGCACGGAGCACTCGAACTCAGAAGATCCGGTGCATTTTCCAACTCTAAATTAGGCAAAACACCAGCGAAGTCTCAGCTTCTCCGAGGAAGGGGCGCAATTGCTCAAGCAGCAACTTCACTTGGGGCCAAACAGAAATGGCGGCTTCTTGCGCCTCCACCCTCCCTTCGCTCTCCTTCGTTTCCTCCTCTTCCAGTTCACCCCGCCGATTCAGGTACCATTACTGCAACCGCTGCTAATCTGTACTTATCCGACTCGATCCGTGTGGGCGATTGAGAGCAGACGATTCTTGGTCGGTTCGACTTCGTGGTTCTTTAACGCAGGCGCTCTGGTGTGGTAGCCATGGCCAGCGTTGGGCAGAAGGTGTATGCGCCCGGTGTGTCGGTGTCGGAGGGCAATGGCGGGCTCCAGAAAATCGACCTCAAATCCCCGCACGGGAGGTACTTTTTTTTTCATTTAATTCTTTTTTTTTTTCGGGAATCACATCAGGCCATCAATCTGCGTGTCTATTCTGTATGCGATTAGGGACTGTGTACTTTTGGTTTAGGAGATGAGTTTAGAGAGATGGGAGCTTGACTCGGGGCTTTAGGTAAGATGAGGGGAGCATTAGGTTGCATCAACAGCATATGCGACACGAATCACAACTCACAATACTAGATTAGGGGAAATATAACCAGAGTTTGACTTTATGCATGGTTTCCTTCGCTGGTTGATCTAGTAGAGTAGATATTATGATTTGTAAATAGTGTCTATCAGATGCATTCCTGTGGTATGGTATCTGTGTTTGGCAGCCTCCTAACCTGACCTTGGTGGTACATTTGCATTTATAAACTTTTCCTGGATCTCTTTTTCCTTGCAAACAAAAATAATGTACCCGTCCTCCCCAATGCCCCCAGGTTTCTTTTTAGAGCGCTCTTCTTTTTATAGGGCATGTTAGGCTTTGAATTAAAGAACTTTGGAAAAAAATACTTTGGCCGCTTATTTATCTTGCAATATAATTTTCTACAAAACTAGTGTTCGAATTTAAAGATATATCAAATCGAACCTAGTGTTGTTACTTTATTACCGCATAGTTGCATATATAATTTGACTAATTCTATTTAGTTTGATCTTTTCAAATCCTAATATGCCCTATACAAAGGAACTGATGGAGTACTATCTTTAGCTCTTGCTTATTTTTCATTTTTCTGCCAACTAAATGTGTAATCATTATTATTTTATGCATGAAGCGAGGCTGAGATTTATCTGTTTGGAGCATGTGTTACTTCTTTCAAAGTCCCTAATGGCAAGGACCTGCTCTTTGTTCGACCAGATGCTGTGTTTAATGGGCAGAAACCCATCAGGTTAGTTTCAAACCATATGCCATAGAACATCAGGTGTTTATCCAGTAGCATCCTAACTACATACTTTTTTTGAAAGCAGTGGTGGAATTCCACATTGTTTCCCCCAGTTTGGCCCAGGTCCCATGCAGCAGGTTTGTGAAACCAGTTTTCTGTTGTAACCCGTGTGAACAGAAAAGATAATATGCACGAAGCATTAGTCTTGGTGGATATTTGGTCCAAAAAGTTAATGATAAACTTCTGCTGATGCCACAGTTAAATATAGAACATATCTTGGCAAATCAAGAAATGGACCCCAAGTTAGCCTTCAAATTTTATCTTGAGGAATTCCATCACTTCTACTAGGTTTGATGAATCATAGTACCACTATCGATGTGGTTATACCAATGATGCAGCTATGTAGCATAATGTTATCACATTTCATATTCTACACGATAATGAAACACATATTCGGTGTACTCTTTGTATTTACCAAGGCTAATTTTACTTTGATAGCATGGGTTTGCACGGAATGTGAATTGGTCCATCACAGATTCAGAAGTCACGGAAGGAGATCCAGCTGTAACTTTGGAACTGAAAGATGGCTCTTATAGCCGTTCTATGTGGGATTTCAGCTTCCATGCACTGTACAAGGTTAAACTCTGGCAGTGTACTATGCGCTTTGATGCTTTCTGTCTATACATTCATAACCTTATCCATATTATTGACCACAGAAGTGGCAGCCTTGTGCTTTGCAGCATATGGTTTGAGTGTATTTAAAAATATTTGCAGGTTTCCCTGCACTCTACAAGCTTGTCAACAACTCTAGAAATAATAAATACGGATGACAAGCCTTTCTCATTCAACTCAGCACTTCACACATATTTCTGTGTAAGTTGCAGTTTCCTGGAACCTTCCCTTTCTGAAATACCACCCTCTGTCCCAAATTATAGGTCGTTTTGGCTTTTCTAGGTGCATAACTTTTGTTGTGTACCTAGATATACGATATATCTAGATACATAGTAAAAGTTGTGTATCTAGAAAATTAAAAACGACCTATAAATTGGAATGGAGGGAGTACAATGTAGATGGTGTTCACATATTTGGTTTACAGGCTTCCATAACTGGCGTTTCTGTGAAAGGTCTAAAAGGTTGCAAGACTCTCAATAAGGATCCTGACCCGAAAAATCCTTTGGAGGGCAAAGAAGATAGGTCAGTTTGGATTTTGGTCAATAGTTATGAGGAATTCTCTCTTATGTATGAAAAACAAATTAGACTCTTGTTTCTTGCGTTGCCTCATTGGATTTTTGCCGATCTTGCCACAGTATTTAGGTTTCGCTGTCTTGCATCAATATCGCTGTATGTGACTGGGAGCAGAAAGCAATATTTGCATTTAGTGCCACTTTTGTCTAAGGTGTCAGAGCTGCTGCATCACCTAGTGTATTTGTAAGTATGGGTATGCTGCTGAGCACAAGTTTTTAACCCACTCAATACCATCCAGGGAAGAGGTGACTTTTCCAGGATTCGTCGACTGCATCTACCTTGGTGCACCAAGTGAGCTCATCCTGGACAATGGATTGGGTGACAAAATTGCCATCGCAAATTCAAAGTAGGTGGCAATCTGGAAATATAAAGGACTCTGTTTTGACATTGTAAAGTCCACATTATTAAGGTGGTTATTTTTCGTATGCAGTTGGCCAGATGCAGTCTTGTGGAATCCTCACTTGCAGATGGAAGCCTGCTACAAAGATTTTGTCTGTGTGGAAAACGCCAAGGTATTACAACAACTGCACAACTTGAGTTAGCGTTTGTTGTTTCCTGGAATCCTCACATTTGATAATTGCATGATTTTGGATGATGATATAAATAATTTTGTCATGTAGATTGAAATGGTACAACTGGAGCCAAAACAATCTTGGGTGGCAGAACAGAAAATTGAACTAGTCTGAAGATAATATCTTGCAGCAATTGCATCAAGTAGAGTGAGATACAAATGGCACTCCCCCAATGTAATTCATCATGGCACGTGTCATCACAATAGCTATACATGTGATGTTTTCTGTTAAAAAGAATAAATGATGCAAATCATGTTTTTCTCCTCGCAGTCTGATGTGTACTGAATTGCAAATGTACAATTTGAACTGCATGGACTCTGTTGAAATGGAAGGGAGTGCCCATTTTGATCTGACATGTCTGATATCTTCTGCTACTGAAATATGTTTGTCCAGTTCGCTGGCTATGCATTATGATTCTACTCTTAACATAAATGCAGTTGAGGCATCAAATCAATAATGGTGTCAGTCAGGTCTATTTCTCTTATAAAAAAAATGCAAAGAAATCGTGTCTTAAGACAAGTTCCTGCTGTTGTGTGTTGGTTCTATGTAATAGGATAATACGGTCACAAAAAAAAATACTTAGCGGACACAGCTAAGCATACAATATTTATTGAGCAAGAATATGGTACATCCCAGCCCTCATACAGCTAAAATAGATAGCGACGGGAGGAGGAAAAGAAAAGAGAACTAATTTACAAAGGACAAGCATGGCAAAATTATAGTTCAGGGGGTTCCGTCACTTAGGCCATAAACACGTTTTGCTGAATCAAGTGTGTTGCCAAGAAGCATCGCAATCGTTACTGGTCCAACTCCGCCAGGAACTGGAGTTATAGCAGAGGCTACATGCACTGCTTCTTCGAAGCAGACATCTCCAGTTAGGCGATAACCATAATCACTGGTTGGATCCTGCAAAACAGGGGACATCAGACGCTGATGGCTAACGCAAAGGGACATGTGTTAGGAACATTACTGACACTGTTTAAGCTTAGATTACAAATTTCTCTGTAAGAAAACTGCACCAATAAACTGATTTGGGACATTTTTAGAAGTAATATTTATCATTAATTTGGGACAATAATTAAGAATAATTATCATTAATTTAGATTCATTCCTTATCATATAAACTGGTTATTGATGGACAAACAACTCTAGAGAAAATGAACAAACAACATAAAACTGTCTTGACAAAAAGTACAATAAACACTGCTGCCTTACCTCGATTGGATTTGTCCCAACATCAATCACCACTGCACCTTGTTTTAACCAGCTTCCCCTTACAAGATTGGCCACTCCAGCAGCTGATATCACAATATCAGATTTGCGGGTGATAGCCTCTGGATTTTTTGTGAAGGCATGGATAACACTGACAGTGGCATGATGCCGCTCAAAGAAAATCAATGACAAAGTAATGTCTTCATATACCAACGCTGCAAAAAATGCATAAAAATCATAGACGTGACTCAGATTTTTGACAACTTTACCTGTAAAAGTAAGGAAGTGGGCAATCCAACAACTTTGCTTCTCCCAATGACAGCTACATGCTTGCCCATCAGTTCAATCCCAGATTGGAGCAATAACTCAATGCAAGCCTTTGCAGCACAGGGCACAAACAAAGGATTTCGGCTTCTGAGTGCAAGATTACCAACATTTAAGGGATGGAAACCATCAACATCCTTCTCCAGACTGATGGTGCTCAGAATCCTTTCCTCATCCATAAACTGCACAAAATTAGGACACAGAATTCAAAGGTCAACAATTTATAACGATGAGTACTGAACACAGCAAAGGCATCTGTGAATTAAGCTGAATCTTGATCAAACAGATAAATAAATGGAAACTAATAGGTACTCCCTCCGATCCAAATTGTAAGTCATTCTGGCTTTTCTATATACATAACTATGTATCTAGACATAATGTAACCTAGGTGTTTAGTAAAAGCTACGTACCTAGAAAAGCCAGAACGACTTACAATTTAGAATGGAGGGAGTAGTTTGTATTAACCATGAAACGGAATGTCTCTAATGGGGTGCATTTAAAAAGTTTTTAACTATATTAATCTATTGAGTGTGAACAATACCACAGATCTTGTGTTTTGAAGGTGGAAACACTAAAACAGTAAAACACATTACCTCTGGTAGAGGTAGCTGCACTAGGATGCCATGAACAGATGGATCCTCATTAAATCTTGACACTGAATCCATCACTTCATCTTCTGAACAGTTTCCAGGCAACTTCGCCAACAAAGATTTAATTCCAACCTGCTCACAGCCTTTTACTTTGTATCGCACATATGATTCAGAATCTCTTCTATCACCAACCAAAACAACAGCTAGACCAGGCACATGTCCAACTGAACGTTTCATTTGACAGACTTCTTCAGCAATATGTAACCTTATGTCCTCCGCAATGGACTTGCCATCAATAATGGTTGCAGTGCAATCATTATCAGCTACAAAATACAGAAATGAGAGTTGACAGCATCAGATTTTTAGCATAAGATTCTGAACAATGAAATAGATGCCCATCAATGAATCAGCCAAGAATCAACAGTGTTGACTTGAAATTTCAATACAACCTTGAGCCAAACATATATTTACTGAGTGCAGCTACCAAGCAAGAATAGTGCAGTACACCAAACATATACTTTCAGTTTGCATCAAGTGAACATATGAAACATGGGTTCAAGCTCTGGCCCCTGGGCCACATAGCGCCTATTTTTCGTGGTCATCAGATCTTCATCAGGCCATTCACCGCAGGTCAGGAGCTATTTTCAAGAGCCTCTGTAGCAAGCGCGTGACACGCCACACCGCCTGCTGGCCTCCACCTTCCACCTGCCATGCCACCCACGCCTTCCTCCGCTGCCGTGTTACCCGTGCCTGTGCCACCCTCCGCTTGCCACATAATTCAAAGCTGCCTTCACTGCACCCAAGGTGGTAATAGACATTTTTCTTAATTGTTAGAATCCCTCATGTTTTCCAGAATCTTCTCTATTCTCCTTATATGTGCTGATGTTAGGAAAGGTACAGTTTATGAAGCAGCTTTCGGAGGCCGTCGACAATCTTTCAGGTCTATGTTCGTAGTTCATCAAGGAGAGTTACATTAGATTGAAATCTCCAGTTATTATAGGCAGCTATGGGAGAGTAATATTTCTAAATACGTTAGTAATTGTGTTTTGCTTTTGTGGTTATTACTTAATGCAATTCTGCCATCTCTGAAGTAACAACAGATCTGAGAGCCCCTGTCAGTCTGATCTGTTTGTTACCACTTATAGCCCTGGTTCTTACAGTACCATAAAGTGCTCTTTGATCAATGTTTGTACAGGTGGACTACATCAGGACTGAAGAGACAGCTGCAGTATTTAAATATGAAGATTAGAGAGCAGCAGGAGCACTTTTGGCTAACATGTTGCTGTGCAAAGTGCACTCTACCATATCATTATAGCTAGGAGCTGCCGATCAGCTGCTCAATAGAGAAAACTACTTATCTAGGCCAACTTTTGCTTAGATAAGCACAAGTGATCAGCCAAGTAAAAGGTAAATTTAGACACTGTACTGTTTAGACCAAAGCATCGAGGACCATAATTATCTTTGCTCTGATGTTCTTTCCAAACAAAAAAAAATGTATTATAAAAGATGATCAGCTTATTGTGTACTCCCTACATTGCTTACAGAAAAGAAAATATTCATAAGGAGGCCACTAGACGGAGGGCCCTCTCCAATTAGTGCTAATTGGAGACCGTCCAGATACACGCCCTCCATCCCCATCTAGAGCATGGGTCCCACTGCGACAGGATTTCTTCTTCTAGATCTCACATGCGTCTCTCCTTCCGTTCGCAACACCCAGCTTCCTCGACTCTGGCCTACCACGCGACCGTCCAGTCCGAGTGCCCCTGCCGGTGACTACGGCCAACCCTAAATCGTGTCGTTGTTCCCCACGCATCCACGCCTTCATCTTCTTCCTCGCAACCATGTCGTTACGTCATGCCCCCATCCGACCACCGGCCACGTCACCTAGTGCCCACTCCCGCCTCTCCACGCCGCCCTCCCCTAATCCCAATCGGAGGAGGAAGCCTGGCCCCTCGCCCCTACCGCCGGATAATCCCAACTGGACGTCCCCCGCCACCCACTCAGCGGCACCCCGCCACCCTCACTGCCCTCCAACAGCCACCGGTCCAGCCGCCTCCCTCGGGCCCCCGCCCTTCTAAGGCCGCAGGCTATTGGAGGCCTCCCAAAACCCAAACCCAAAACCCAAAACCCAAATGGCCTAACCCTAAGAGCAACTCCAAGAGGTTAGCTAAAAATAGATTCCAATATGCATGATTTAGCCATTCTATAAAATAAAATCTCCTAAAAAGTTATGGGTTGCCCAACAGACTTTGTAAATTTTCTATTTTCCATATTCAAAACTTGCCACGTCATCCAAGCAAGGCACGCTGGGGGCTGTCATGGCCACCTCCAAGCAGTCACCAGGCCAGAAGGTCAAAGCGGCCCGCGTGCCAGCCAGCCGTGCCGCACAACAGGGGCTCCCAACCGCCTTGAGATTTTCTGGACGAGCCATGAATACCAGACACCAGAGACCGTGCCGTGAGAAGCCAACCGTAGGCATCGAAGGCCTCCCCGGTGACATCAACAGTGGCGTTTGTTCCTTGCTTCTTTCCAGCAGATTGTTGAGGTGCTTGTGCAGGTTGGACAGAGGACAACGGCACAGTTACCTTCACTAGAGTTAAAGCGTCGCTGCCGCCGCTGTCACTGTCGGCAGCGGCGGTCCAGTAATCTTCGAAGACGGTGATATCGCATTGAACGGTTATCGTCCTTGAGGCAGCCCGACCTCTTCAGATCTTTCCACCTGATGAAGTTGCCTCGACTCAGCACTTAAGAAGTATGCCGCCATATGGCGCGGTTGAAGACGTGCACCACCATGGCGCGGCCGGAGACGAGCGCAACCATAGAGCCGTGCCACACGTGCGAGGCTTTCTCGCGGGAGAAGACTCATCAACCCTGCGAAATCAGTACGGGAGCACCGATGGCGAGCGCCTGCACACTGGCTTTCTTTAGCAAGCAGAGTAGATGGGATAGCTCATTGGGTATTTTACAAACTCGGATACAACATCTGTTGGAGTCTAAATTTTATACCACAGATTGTCTAAATTAGACTTAAAATAAAAAAATAGCATCTCTCTTGGAGTTGCTCTAAGTCCCTAACCGTAGGTCACCGGGGTTGGAGGATATCACTATAGATGGAGGAGATTGCTGGAGAAGAAGAGGTAACCCTAGCTCGGCAGCCTCCTCCACTCCCTTTTTTTATTTCCAACATGCTTGTGTTTCCTAATTGGGAGGGCTCTCATGTTAAGGCTAAACCGAGAGCCCCTGATATAGCTTTTACCTATTCCTAAACCACTGAGTCTTAGATCTAAATAAGAGTTCTGCAAGAAGTTTGATATAGGCCATGGATCCAAATGCAAAGAAGAAAACTGCCAACAATGATATACATTGGAGTGCCAGCAACAAACAACAGAAACAAGGATAATTCTCTACATGGGCTGGCTTCCTCTGTTTGCCGTGCCTGGGTTTCTAGTTTCGCAACAGGATAGGTTTGAAGGGTAAACTACTAGGGGGCTGTTTGGACGAGAGGTATTAGGTCCAATACCTCTGTAATTTACAGGTCCTAATAATTTTCCGACGTACACTGAAAAAGACTGCTTGGATGTCAGGTATTTTGGAAAAACATTACCAGCGGTTTGGCTGATTACAACCGGAAAAAAATAATCACCTCAGGAGACAACAATTTTTTTCCGATAACTATCGGGCGACGCTCGACGGTGGGGATACCGGGCGGCGGCACGAGATGCAGCGAGGGAGGCGCACGGGCGAGAGCCGCGGGCTCTTGAGGGCCACCCCTTCCCTCCCATCGGTGGGCAAGCTGGTCTCCTTCCGCGGCGACACGTCGGCGATGGCGGCGGCTTGTCGTACTCGTCGCCCGGCTGCAGCGAGGACCATGAATACCACGACATGTGGAAGCGGCGGCGCCGAGAGTTAACTGGCGACGGATAGCTACACGGAGGGCTACCTGGCCCATGGTGGCGGCGGAGCGGAGCGCTGCCTGGCCAAGGGTGGCGGCGGCGTCCTAGGCAGCATCCCATGGTGTACACTCGAATCCATGGCTATAGAAACCAGATCGACGGCGATGGTTGCCAAATCCATGAGGAGCGCATCTATTTCTCAGATTTCACGTATCCTCCACTCCTGATCCCATCTGTCCTTGTGTGATAAGCTTCAGCTGCTGGATGAATCGTGAGTGATCTGAGCTAAGTTGCTAGATCACTGGCTGGCTGGTAGTGGTAATGGAAATCGATCGACATTGCAGCAGAACTGCAGCGAGACCTGAGAATATTGGATTGATCGACCTCAAGATTTGCATGGTATTTTGAGCGACGAGTCACTGGACAAGCAGCTATCTACTATCTAGTACTACAAAGATTGGTCGAGCTGAGACTATCGTATACTGATCTGTTGTGTTTGGGTTGCTAGGATGATATGCTAATTCAGACATCCATTTGTTTGATTTGCTTTTCTGATTGTCTTGAACGATTGCAGAACATGGAGCTATCAGGTCAATGTGATTCCTATGGATGACCCAATTACCACTGTCTTACACTGTGCTTCCAAATAGCATTTTACAAGTGGATAAAAAGTGCCCGGTTTTCTTGTGCACAACAAAATACAGGTGTAAACAAGTTACAGGTGTATATATTTCAGCAACATCCAAACAGACCCTAGAGGATGCGAGCATTAGTTCTTTGCAAGTGACACGAACTGACTCCATGCCACAACGGTTGGTTCACAAATCATAAGCGCTAAGCTCCCACCAACTTATCAATTTAATTGCAAAAAAAATGTAGATTTAAAAAAAAACACTCTGGACAGCCTCGCCAGGCCCCAGCCCAATCGAAGCAAAGCGATACAAAGAGCCCGCCTTCAACCAGCGATTTACCAAAGCAATAAACCCCGCTCACCTTGGGCACACCGCGGAGGAGCCTGCGGCGTGGTGTCACGCGATGAAGGGTCCCAGATGTCGGGGAAGTCCGGTCCAAGAAGGAGGCTGCTGCTGCTCCGCCGCCGCCGCCGCCGACTCTTCGTCCCTGCCTTGTCCTCCTCCGCCGCTGCAGTCTCTGCAGCATCGTGGAGCCTGCGCGCCGCCCTGGAGAACAAGGATACGAACGGACCAGATTTCCAGCGGGCGGTTGCGGCGGCAAGAACGGCCACGGCAGCGCCACCCATCTCCGTCGGCGCGACCCACCGCTCTGTCGGAAAATGGGATATCAGTGAACGTTTGGGCCTTTTGGGCCACGTGGGCTTGCCAAGGAGAGGTGGCATGTTCGCTGGTATTATAATCCGTATTTTTTAGTCGGAATAGTATTTTTCTCTCACATCAAATCAGCTGAAAATAGTGTTTTGGCTGTTTTTTCAGCGAAAGCGAACGGGACCATTTTTGCAAGGTTGGGTCTCATAGCAGGGCCCACTTGGCGCATTCATACCTTAAAAAATTGAACAAAAGGTAAAAAGTCAAAATCAGGACCAGAAAATCTATATATAGAGACACCTAATAACCTTTGTGGGTGGTCGATTGATCCTCTACCTATAAAATAAGGTATTATGCACACTACAGTGTAAAACTGACAAAGAACCCATAGAGGGAGATGATCTCATTGAGCTAGCAATCCACGTTGCTAGGGGTTTAACACGGTGGCACACCGGCCCTCCTGTCACCCTTGTTGGGACACCTCCTCTCATGTTCCCTCTCTCTCTCTCTCTCTCTCTCTTCTCAACTGGGAACTGCTGACATACCACTAGGACTTCCTGTGTTGAGTCGGAAGCACCGTCGACGACACCAATGATGCCACGCTCCCCATAGCTTCACTCGGATTAGGAACAATGTCATATTGTATGAGGCTGCCATGTCGCCAAACGCTAGCGCCAGATCTATAAATATATGTTAGGAGGGGCTCCTCCTCCTTATTTTCTACATTTAGCATGCTTCCTCTAAGTTTCAATAACTATAAATTTATAGGGAGACTATGAGGAGCTCCATGCTTCCGCTGGTGGTAGGGGGCTCAAGCCCTCGGTCACCCTAGTGTTCGATCCACCACTACTAGGGACCGGGCCTCGCACTTCAAGGTGAAAGTCCCATTTGAGTTTTGTTAATTAATGACAACATTTTTTGGACTAATGGTTTTATGTGAGATGAAAGGTTAAGTGTGTTGGGCTGCATAAGAGCCATGAAGGAGGGATGGCATGAACCATGTGATGCAAGAAGCTCACCAAGGTGAAGAGATGGAAGCAAAGGATGAATGACAAGTGAAGGCAAAGATATATGCATAGTGCTTGACTTTCACGGACCATGAGGTGATTAGAGAAGTGAAAATGACCGGATTACTAGGATACATAGTCATACTATTAAAAGGGCCAATCAAGTTGCAAATACGCTAGTGGCACTTGTTGTGAGATCTAACTTTGCATATGCATTAGGATCGAGTGACCAAGTGTGTAAGAGTGAAAAATATTTGTAAAATACTAACTCAAAGCTAGAGGTGCTGATCATCCCGAGTAAGATCCATTGGAGTTATTACTGACTTGAAAAGCTTCAAGAAAATGAACTTAATGGAGTATTTTTACACTCGCTAGAGTTCCCTGGTGCCTAAGAGGTGGGCATCAAAACCTTGGTACAATGATCTACCAGGTATTGATCATGTATTAAATGTTTTTTTGTGCGGAGTACCTTATTCCTTTACTTTCTAAAGCTCAATGCATACGCTTTTGGTTATTTGTTTGGAAGAATTTTATGGATTACAACATTGTACACACGATACTACTGTTAAGTTGTTACAGGTGAGCAAACGTCTGTCTATAGCTACGTCTATCCCAAGACCAGGAGTTTGGTCTGGACACACGGTAGATGCCTAGAGAACTATGCATGATGGGTTGATGTATAACAAATGTGATATATTATGAACTATATTATTGTATGAGTGTTAGATGTTCATGTGTACGTGCTCAATGTGATGACCTAAAGAACTTTGTTTCATGTAACCTATTAGGCTAAAACTATTTTTTTTGTGAAATTCCTCTAATGAAATTTGTGCGTTCCAAAGGGCTCATAAGGAGTGGTTTGATAACCTTGTTGTTCTAAACATATTTACAAGATATGGTAAAATGTTATTTTTAGGATTTTAAAAAAGAAGCACATATATTCTTCACATTGTAATATAAATATTTAAAAGTGATTCACATTTTTTAAGTTTTGAAAACCTAACAGGTGGCACCGTGACTAGTGCTTAATAGGTATGTGTGTTTGTCGAGGGATTAGGGACCAAATCTTTGTTGTTCGGTTTGACTAAACTTAAAAGCAACATTGTTGTCATCCAAACACCTTCTTGATGCTAGTTTGTCTTCAAAACCTTGTCACAATTTTGAGCAAGCTCTGTAGCAATTATAAGCACACAAATCACAACCGCAGTTCGAAAAACATTTGTGGTGGTTTCATGCAAATGAAACGTTAAGTGTAGTCCATAAACAAGAGTTGAGCTACATAAGAGCCATGAAGGAGAGATGGCGTGAACCATGTGATGCAAATGCTCAACAAGGTGAAGAGATGGAAACAAAGTATGAATGACAAGTGAAAGCAAAGGTGTATGCATAGTGCTTTATCTTTCACCGACCATGAGGTGATTAGAGAAGTGAAAAATGATCGGACTGATAGGATAGATACATCATACATGTACTATTAAGAGGGTCAATCAAGTTACAAATACGGTTATCTAGTGCCAATTGTGAGATCTAACTTTGCATGTGTATTAGGATCGAGTGCTTAGGTGTCGAGTAAGAGTGAAATTTTTTTGTAAAATGCTAACTCATAGTTAAATGTGTTGATCATCCTATGGAAGATCCATTGGAGTTATTAGCGATTTGAAAAGCTTTGAGAAAAGTTATATGAAGTTTTTTACCGTCATCGGAGCTCCTTGGTGCCAAAGAGATAGCATGGAAACCTTGGTACAATAATCTACTCGGAGTTGATCATGTATTAAATGTTCTTTTGTGCAAAGGCCTTATTCGTTTATTTTTTAAAACTCAATGCATGCTCGTTTGGTTATTTGTTTGGAAGAGTCTCATGGAGTACAACATTATACCTGTGGTACTACTGTTAAGTTGTTGTAAGTGATCAAATGTTTGTCTATAGCTACTTCTATCCCAAGATCGGAGTTTGGTCTAGACACAGACTAGAGAACTATGCATGATGGACTGAGGTATAACAAATGTGATATATTATGAACTGTGTTATTGTAGGAGTATTAGATGTTCAATGTGTGTGCGCGCTCAATGTGATGGCCTAAATAATTTTGTTTCATGTAACCTAATTAGGCTAAAACTAATTTTTATGAAATTCCTTTGATGAAATTTATGCGTTCCAAAGGGCTCACATAGAGTTGTTTGATTGCCTTTTTGTTCTAAAAACATATTTAGGTTATGTTTATGTTTTTTTTAAAAAGCACATATGATATCCTTCATATTATAATGTAAATATTTAAAAGCGATTCACGTTTGAAGTTTTGAAAACCTAACAGTTGACACCGTGACTAGTAGTGCTTAAAAGGTTGTGTGTTTATCGAGGTTATTAGGGAACAAATCTTTGTTGTTCAGTTTGACAAAATTTAAAATCAACATTGTTGTCATCCAAACACCTTCTTGATGCTGTCTTCAGAACCTTGTCACAATTTTGAGCAATCTCTGTAGCAATTATAAGCACACAAGTCACAACCGCAGTCGAAAAACCACCCATGCTCCCTTCCCGCCATCTCCGCGCCGCCGCGCGGCAGCGAAGCCACAGGCGGCCGGCCGCCCCTGCCGACGCCTGCATTACCGGCAAGCCCGATGCGGAGGTGATCCGGCGCAACAAGGCCATCACGGCGCACATGCGTGCAGGCCGCGTTCCAGACGCCGAGCGCCTCTTCGCCGCGATGCCCCGCCGCTCCACCTCCACCTACAACGCCATGCTCGCCGGGTACGCCGCCAACGGACGCCTCCCGCTGGCGCTCTCCTTCTTCCGCTCCATTCCGCGGCCCGATTCCTTCTCCTACAACACGCTCCTGCACGCGCTGGGGGTGTCATCGTCACTCGCCGACGCGCGCGCCCTGTTCGACCAAATGCCTGTGAAGGATTCCGTATCCTACAACGTCATGATCTCGTCTCACGCCAACCATGGTCTGGTCTCACTCGCACGGCACTACTTTGACCTCGCCCCAGAGAAGGATGCTGTCTCATGGAATGGCATGCTTGCTGCGTATATCCGGAACGGACGGATCCAAGATGCAAGGGAGCTGTTTGATTCAAGGACAGAGTGGGATGCCATTTCTTGGAATGCTTTGATGGCTGGGTATGTGCAGTGCAGTCAGATAGAAGAAGCTCAGAAAATGTTTAATAGAATGCCACAGAGAGATGTCGTTTCCTGGAATACTATGGTGTCCGGTTATGCGAGGAGAGGAGATATGGCTGAGGCAAGAAGGTTGTTTGATGTGGCTCCAATTAGAGATGTGTTCACCTGGACAGCTGTTGTCTCAGGATACACACAAAATGGGATGCTCGAAGAGGCCAAGAGGGTGTTTGATGCCATGCCAGAGAAGAATGCTGTGTCGTGGAATGCAATGATGGCTGCATATGTCCAGCGGAGGATGATGGAGGAGGCAAAGGAGTTGTTTGATGCTATGCCCTGCAGGAATGTGGCTTCGTGGAACACAATGTTGACGGGGTACGCTCAGGCTGGGATGCTGGATGAGGCGAGGGCAATTTTTGGCATGATGCCACAGAAGGATGCAGTCTCATGGGCCGCAATGCTGGCTGCGTATTCACAAGGTGGTTTCAGTGAGGAAACACTGCAGCTGTTCAAAGAGATGGGGCGTTGTGGTGAGTGGGTGAATAGGTCAGCATTTGCTTGTGTTTTGAGCACATGTGCTGACATTGCTGCACTTGAGTGTGGAATGCAGCTGCATAGTAGGTTGATTAAGGCTGGTTATGGGGTGGGCTGCTTTGTTGGTAATGCACTCCTAGCTATGTACTTCAAATGCGGGAACATGGAGGAAGCTCACAGTGCATTTGAAGAGATGGAGGAGAGGGATATTGTTTCGTGGAATACTATGATTGCAGGTTATGCACGACATGGTTTTGGCAAGGAAGCACTTGAGGTTTTTGATACGATGAGGAAAACATCTACCAAGCCAGATGATATTACTTTGGTAAGCACATCCTTCCTGGGAATGGAACATTGTATTTTTAAGTTTGTAGGATCTACAAGTTACAATATATGTAGTTGGTTTTGCTTGATGGATCAGTATCTAATTGATGACACTTTCATGTTTATCTATAGATCCCTCTTGGCAATCAATCATGTGTTATATTTGTATCTGGCTACTGACTTTCCTTTTATAGACAACATTAACTGGAGAAGCTAACGTTAGGTTCCCTTGTGATCTTCTAATGTTTTGGTAAATTTAACTTTCAGGTTGGAGTACTTTCAGCATGTAGTCATTCTGGCTTGGTTGAGAAAGGGATTTCATACTTCTATTCGATGCACCGAGATTTTGGTGTGACAGCAAAACCTGAACACTACACTTGTATGATAGATCTTCTTGGCCGGGCTGGGCGATTGGATGAAGCAGTTAATCTTATGAAGGACATGCCTTTTGAGCCTGACTCTACCATGTGGGGTGCATTACTTGGTGCCAGTAGGATCCACCGCAACTCTGAACTAGGCAGGAATGCAGCTGAGAAAATATTTGAGTTGGAACCTGAAAATGCAGGCATGTATGTCTTGCTTTCGAATATATATGCATCATCTGGCAAATGGCGTGATGTGGACAAGATGAGACTTATGATGCATGAACGTAGTGTGAAGAAGGTTCCAGGATTCAGTTGGATTGAGGTGCAGAACAAAGTCCACACTTTCTCAGTGGGTGATTCTGTGCATCCTGAAAGAGAAGACATATATGCTTTCCTGGAAGACCTTGACATCAGGATGAAAAAGTCTGGATATGTATCAGCTACAGATATGGTTTTGCATGATGTGGAGGAGGAAGAGAAGGAGCACATGTTAAAGTATCATAGTGAGAAGCTTGCTGTTGCTTATGGTATTCTAAAAATTCCTCCTGGGAGGCCCATCCGGGTGATAAAGAACTTGAGAGTATGCAGAGACTGTCACACTGCTTTCAAGTATATCTCTGCGATTGAGGGCAGACTGATCATATTGCGGGATTCCAACCGGTTTCACCATTTTAGAGATGGTTCTTGTTCATGCGGTGATTACTGGTGATTATGACTAGATATTTCATGCAAAGAAATTCTGAATGAACTGCAGTGGACTTCGAAATCATGATTATGCAATGCAGGCTAAGGACCAAAAAAAGTAGGCATCCTGATGTCTGGATCTGGCTCTGTTTAACTGTTAGCTACTACCCACTAGACCTTCTACTTTGCTACTGGTTCAAAAGAGATTATCCTGGTGATCTGCCACATTAAATAGCTTTCAGTTCATTGGTGAGTACTGAGATCCATACCTCTAGAACGAAAAGACATTGATTGAGTTGGTTTATTTCTGATTTCCCTCATCATTGCTTCCTTAGAGGCCAGATTTTATATCCTTTATCTAAAAATAATTGCTTCCTGGCTTACTTCCCCTTGCAGCTCTTGGTAGGCACTCATACATTCCTCCCTGCAGCGAACATTGACGTGTGTGCTTGACCAACTTTGGTTGTCATTCTGATTGTTTGGTAGTAGAGTATCCCTGAACACATGAATGAACATGTCTTGTTTAACTGTAAAATTCCTTCCCCAAATTAATGCATCAAGGAGTACATGTGAGCAGAAAGATGAGGAAATTAAGTGGTTGGAAATTAAGTGTGTGTGATTGCTGGACGAGGCTTGAGGAACTGCAGAATTCTTTGCTCAGATCAATGTTTGCTTGAAAACAATATGTTTTCTGCTTAAAATTCTCAAAGGAGTCTTACAAGAATATTTATATTCTTTTCTCCTATTAACTCCCTAACAATACCAATATTTCTTAATAGTATATAACGAAAATTTGGGCACCAACTATCTGTAAGGTGACCTGAGCTCCTTAAGCCGTCATAACTCAGAATTCTCTCAATTCTGCATGCTAGAGTGAGTTTCTTATATCAATAGCTATCTGTAATCAACCATACAACTACAATATCAGTAGCTATGTTTTTAGGTATGTCAAATAGACCTGAAATTTCCAAGTGATACTGAGAGGATTTTACAACATTTGTCAAAATTTCTACTGTACCTTTTCATCATAATATCATGTCACTCCATTATAGTTGCAATCTTCATCCCTGCTGGATGTTAGAACATATAGCAGATAGTGTTTATACCATGATCTGAAAATCATTTGGCTGCATCATTTTATTCATTGAGAAATTAGAAGTAGTATACAGATTTGTTCACAAATTAGAAGATTGTTATATTATGACATTTTTTTCATTGACATATTTCATGTACACAGTGCCCTTACACATTTTGGATTTGAAATCTTTAATGTTATTTTTTATTTATTTGGCGAGACCCATGTATTGCTGTGCCCTTAACACTTTCTGAACTTTTCTTCCTTCATTGTGCTGCTTATGTACAAGTTAACAAATTTCAATTAATATGACCATGCCAGGTGGAGGGCGCAGTTCATTTAGAGATATATACAACAACAGGAACATCTCAAGTAAGTTTGATGCATATATTGGTCTGAACTCCGTTTATGTGTATTATTTATCTATCATATACTATGCACCACACTTCAATCTAATAGTTGTTTCAGAAAAACATTGGCCACAGGACCGCAAACAACACTTTCTAATGAGGCACAGTGTAAAAGGGGTGGATAGAACAGAAAACAGCGTGAATACCGTACTAGGATGTGGGCTCAAGCAAGTAAACAGTGCCTTGAGACACTAGGACATCCGAGCCATCCAATACAACTCATAAATTATAATGCAACAAACCTGATGACCATCAATATTTGTAATCTTTCTTCCAAAAATAATAATATATGACTGTCATTATGCAATTCTCATAACATGTTTGCGTATAGCTGGATCCATGAGCAACAGTGTTGTAACCTCGGCCACACCACTACAGCCGAAACTGTTGTCCTTGAATGTAAAAGGCAATGGGACAAGGATCGGCGGGTGCTGAAATGACTGAGAAACAGAGGGAAGAAAGGAATAGAAAGCAACATGACTACCAAGCAAAGGGGAAGGCTGAAACAGAAAAACTTCAGGGAGCAAATGCTGGATCATCTGTACTGGCCACACCTACTCCTGGTATGTTAATTTAGAGTCAGAGGCAATGTTCTTCCTTAATCAACTTTACTGTCATTTGCTGTATGTAATTACTCGGACAATATTTTACAGCAGATTCAACAATTTTGCAAGCATCAATAACAAGAGACAGGGGAAATGTTGATAGCGCTGACCCAGATCCCGCATTATATAGGCTACAGGATGGGCCTTAGTAATTCCCTTTTGGAGTGTATACTGCGTGTCCAGTGATGCAGAATGTATAAGATCTGAAATCTCTCCGAATGAAAGGACCTGCAGCCCCATAGAGCTATGGATGAACTTATGAGATAGTCAACTGAATCACTATTAAAGACTTCCCCCATAAATTTCTGTGTCGATCTATTTCTGCAGTGCCTGCGTTACTATCCGACATTTGCTGCTACGGCTAGCTAATGGACAGTGTCCTTCACAAAGAGTGCGTCCACTGGCATGGAAGAGAAGGTACTGTCAACACTGCTTATATTATTCCATTGCGTGTACAAGACATGGTATTGTTGGTGCGTGGTAGTCACCCTTTGTTTGCGCTTGACTACAGGTGCTGAAGTTGGTTGGGATGGGCTTTCCAGAGGATCTGATGAGCAGTGCCCTGAAGAGTGTCAATTGTCAATGTCTATGCTGTATAAATTCTCAATGTTGTGAAAATTCTGAATATTGTGAAACATTCAGAAACGTTTAGAGTTCTGTTTTAACTTTTAAGTTCAGAGCTCTGAATGTTCTGCAACTCTGAATGCTCTTTTAACATTCAGAGAATTCCAAACCTTTCTAGCTCGTGGTGCCACCATTTTCATTTTCAGTGTTGCTGATAATTAATTTGACCCTAGAGTAATAATCAGAGAAGTGATTGATTTTAGCTTTCTTATTGCTTTTCCTTTTTTTTATATCAGTCCTTTCGTGAGTTTCGTCTGCTGAAACTGAAAGGCACGTGGAGGGCTACAGAAGTTCTTTGTAATCTGCTTTTTTCTTCAAGTACTGCAAAACTAGGATCCAATCATACAAAGTGGATTCAGTATAACAACTGTAATGCCGATAATTGTTGATGAGCAGTTTGCTATTCTTCAGTTATGTAGCCATGCAGGTGGGGTTCTCGTGTTACTCTTAAATTTGCTGCTAAACATTTATGCTTGTGAATCTGTGATATTGCCATCTGAAGTTTTGAAGATGTTTCGCAATTTCATAGTGAAGCAAAGCTTTAGGCATACTGCGGATACATTATCTCTGCAATCACCTCAAAATTATATGACCAAGCATGCGACGCACATGTGCAAGACAAGTGTCCTATTTGGTAGAATTCCACATTGCTTCACTAGGCGTTGCACTGTTCACATTGCTGCACCCTTACTGTTCATGACACATTTTTTGCTCTCGCCTCCTAACAACTTAAAGCCAGTGAAAGCCACCATTTTCGGCTTCCCTCGATACTGTAGCAATAAGCTAAAGCGGGGTGAAGCTCTACTAGACAGACCATGTACTTATCCCAATTTCTATAATGAATATAAAAAATGCTCATATAATTGTAGTAGGAACAGAAAATGTAAACTTAGGTACTTAAAAAGATATGTCATAACGAAATTCATTGGCTTTTGTCTGAATGCGTGTGGATTGGGGTGGGTTAAAGTGTAGCCAAATAAGGTCCCAGCGGAAGTGATTAGTGGGAGTTAGTCCTATAAACTCATATTCCCTTTTCGATAAAAACTCCCACTCCCACGCAATAAATAAAAGAAATCTGAACTCCCTCCAAATTCTCATTGTCTCCTTTCAATTACCCCCAACCAAACATATGGTGAATGTCTAAATTGAAGAAAAAAGGGACATTGTTCAAAAATCAAAGGTTACATCATACTAATTTTATTAAGCCACTTAAAACTAGACAATTGTTGGAAAGTTAGGTAAGTTCATGATTAATTCTAGAACATAAATCTTGGTATGTGGAGTTCCCTTCTTTCTCCCACACTAACTCGGTGAAGCACCCTTCTCTCTCCCCACATTAGACTCGTTGAACATGAGACCTTCATATTTAAGCATGTCATCCTCAACTTCAACCAGTAGTATGAGACTAAAGTCAACTATTTCCCCCTATCCACACATGACTGGACCTTTGAGATTTATTTGGAATAATTAAATAGGCCTAGCCCACTTATACTCCAATAACCCTCATCAGATCTCAAATGACCATTTAGATATTTGTCTATTCCCACTACTGCTTAATATACTGTGTTTCAACGAAGACTAGAGCAGCTCCACCCGATCCAATTTCCCCTTTCCCTTAAAAGCATGTATAACGAATTGAGAAAACACAATTTTAGATTCTAGGGGAGAGCTTTTGCAGCAGACTGAGAAAATCTATTCCCTTTCCTTTCGTGGGACCCAGAGGTAAGTCTCTCCTTTCGTCTCCCCCTTCTCCAACACCCCCCCTCTCTCTCTCTGGCACAACTTATCAACGGGTGGACAGCCGGTAGGCATTGTGTTGCCAATTAGAATCCTCTCAGCCATGGAACTCATGACATAATCCTATATCTACATTTTTTTTCCTTATAGCTCTTAATTATAAATAATAGTATTATTACAAAAAAATTCTCAAACACGAAGCTAAATTAGTTGTACACGAAAGGCAAGCCGCCGTGCGTTGCTTCTGTTGTGCCTTGGTCCACAATTTCTGTTTGGACCTTTGTCATGTGAGTTGGGGAGGGTGTTAATCTCCATCGTTTGGGTGGGGTTGGGGTGCATTGACACAGGCATTACACTAGTAGTACAAAATATATGGAAGGAAACAGTGATAATAGAAGGTGCATTATATATACTAGCAAATATGCATATACTAGCAAATATGCCCGTGCGTTGCAACAGGAGAAACTAAGCAATTGAATATTCATAGGAAATGAGAACAGGAACGCTGTAAATATATTTATGTTTTACTTTAAAGCTATAATGATGCCAATAATATGACAATGTTTTACTAAACTTGTATCAAATTAATGCATGACTTTGTATACAAAAATACAATTTTGAAATATTTTTTCTACAGTGCAAAGCACAAAAAATATTTACATGTAAATATACCATAGAGCTTTAGTTTTCATACTATACATGTATTGTTACAATAATATCGAAATCTGTGCTTTCTTTGATGAGGAGCCATAAAATTATGTAATTCTAATATTTGATTCAAGTCGACATGGAATTAATTGTTGTTAGTTGACCTTGACTTTGACAGCCACTTGACTCGTGCTAAAGTGCCCGGGTATTATTCTTTTTCGTTCAAGGCATAGGTATGATCCTAGATAAATGGTACGATAATTTAAGTATGAATGCATATTGTCACGAGAAGAATAATTTTTGAACCTGATGTTTGAATCATCAATATTATAAATTTAATTTTATGCATGGCTAGAAGTAAGAGAATCAATTATGTTCTAATTATATCCTTCGATGCACCTAAATGTCACACCTTCTCAATAGTATCCTAAGATTATTGTTTCGGCAAGTACCAGCAGTCAAGTAGTCCTTACGATCATGGCGAAGCTGAGCCAAATGAAAAAACTGCTTTAAGATAAACATATTTAGCAAAATACAGATAATATAGTACATGGATCAAAAGTTGTAGTTGATGAAAGCACGTGAAACAATAATTCTCCAGCCTCGTACACTTTCATGTATGTCCAGCAAATAGCCACTCAACTCTTGGTAGCTTTTTTATGCACATAGACGCGTTTAGTTCCAAAATTTTTTGGTTTTTGTCCATTACATCGAATTTTTGGACGCATGTATGGAACATTAAATATAAACGAAAAAAAACTAATTGCACAATTCGGTGAGAAATCGCGAGACGAAACTTTCGAACCTAATTAGTCCATAATTAGACACTAATTGTCAAATACAAACGAAAATGCTACGGAAGTCAAACCCAAAATTTTTCACGAACTAAACGTGCCCTTAGCAAATTCACTAATTTAAACTCCACGTGAACTTTTGCCCTTCTCGATCCTTGTGCCTAACAAGTTTTCACTACCGCACGTAGCTCGACCTTCGATTCGTGGGGCAGCTACAGCTTCGATTCTGGTGCAGGTACCACGACGAAACAACAGCAGCTCTGATACTCGGAATTTTTTTATTTTTAACTTTTTTTTAAAAAATAAATTTCAAATCTAACACCTTTACTTTTTTTTTTCAAATCTAATACTTTTGGCCGCACAAAAGTCCATGGCGCGATCAAAACACGCTGCAGCGCTACATGCATCGGCATGGCACAATCTACCACGTCGGACAACGATTTCCATGTGTAAATCTTTGCCACGCCACAGCCGTTGGCGCGGGAGCACTGTAGCGCCACGCCATCCAGAATGGCGCGGCAAGGCGCAACCTTAGAAAAATTGTAACTTTTTCATATGATTTCGGATGAAGATGATCTTTATATGAAAATTATAGCTCTCAATGAGATCTACAACTTTCTAGTTTAAGGTTTTTCATTTGAGGTCGTTAAGATATTCAAAAAAATTAAACAAAGTTTTAGCAGTATATTAATCGCCTACAAAGCGTTGTCGTCTTGGAAAAACTATATCGTTCTTATATGGTGTCAAATGGAGATACTTTCTATATGAAAGTTGTAGTCCTCAATGGGATCTACAAATTTTTAGTTTTGAGTTTTTACATTTAAGATCATTAAGATGCTCAAGAAAAATAATATAAAGTTTATGCATCGTATTAATCACGTACAAGCACTTGTGGTCTTGGAAAATCATATATTTCTTATATGGTGTCAAATGGAGATACTTTCTATAACACCATAGGTGTTAGGCTTGCATAATTTGACTTGCATTACATGAGCATAAGCATCAAGCATTCATATATGAGCTTTTACATATGAAACATTCAACTGAAACATGTGAAACATACCTTGTTATTTTATATTTCTACATGTGTATGCTTATGATCATGTGTGAATAAGTGTAAATGTTTGATGTTGGTCATTAAAGCACCTTAGCTACACTTAGGATGACTAATGGAACATTGTTCATGTAGATCACTTTATGTAATTAAGCTCCTAAGTGATGATAGGCTTGTTGACCTAGAAAGTTTTATGTGTAACCAATGTATGAAATGCTTGTGTGACCTTAGGAATACCTTAACCATGTTTAGAATGTCATTATGAATAACTTTGGTATTCATGACAAGGGCTAGTTTGGTCACTAAGTCCTAGTTGTAGTGTAAGTCATCATTTGAAAGTGTTATGTTTGACCTAGGTTGAACTATGTCATAGAGACTTTGCATGGATGTGTTCACTAAATTAAAGTTGTAGTATTTGAGTAGGACAACAACTTTTATTTTTAGGTCATAGGCTAGTTCAGCTCCTAACATGCTTGAATTTAGCTCACAAGAATCAAGATTTCACTGTTTTCACACTTAGAAAATTTGCTAAGTCATTTGGAGTTTACAGTTTGACAGGCTCGACTTTGTGCTGATTTTTCTTCCTAACCATTGAGAATTAGGCTTTGATTTCTAAAGAGGTTTTGTAGCTGGTACATAGCTCTACAGTTTTGGTTTTAACACCGTTCACTGATTCGTCGTGGATCTAGAGATTTAGCCTCTTCAAATTGCTCTGTCAGTCGCTCATTCGGGCTCTAATGGCCGAGCTGCGTCGCGCC